TAAACACATGGAGGTCACGATGTGTGTGTGCTCCAGGACAATGTTAGATTTGAAACACATCTGGTGTCAAACAGTTTCAATCACGTTCCTATTCCAGTATATCTCTAATCATGTCCCTCCCTACCATAGAAACGTAAGGAAAGTCATAGGAAGCTCTTTTTGCAGAGAATATCCTAAAGAAGCACGCGGGCAAGTCCAAATGGTATTTCTTTGGGGGTAGGAGGCACGAGTATGTCACGTGATTAAATTCGATAAGTTGTGAGTAATGTAAAACTTTACTAGCGCTAAGAATGTTGGCCCCCTAGAGATCTAAGGCGACTCACCACATGCTGGCTTTTTTCTTGCAAGCTACTATCATTTCCCGCAAAATAGAAACTCTGAGCAAGTTTATTGTTCGCTTTCGTTGAAAATTAAAATTAGTTGCACATGGTAGCAACATCTTAGAGTGTTCAAAAACAAATAACCAATTTGCAAATGTAGAGAGAAAAAACAAATCACGAAAGACATGAACCGCATGTACAAATGAGTGTTAATACTATTCTCGCTGCCACGAATTAATAAACATAAGCAAGTTGTGGTGTGTCCCGCAGAACAACTACAACGTTAGATTTGCAGTACACCGTGCTCCAAACAGTTTTAAGCACAATGCTAGCATGGTAACTTGTAGTTCATGGTTTCGAATATTAAGAGACGACAAAATCATTTTCTTAAAGAAGGATCTCCTATCAAATGATAAGTTTGTATTGTTTGTTTTTATTAACTAGAAACTGCTTGCACATAGTAATAAGAATCCTAGACTGTTTGGAAAGAAAATAATTATGTGTAGCCAAGTTAAAACAGAATTAAATCACCATAAACACAAGAAAAAATTACTATTGTCGGTATTTACCTATTTATGTTAATATTTTAGCATGTAGCCTCGCCATGTCGGTGGGACACGTCCTCTAGGGGAGCTTGAATAATTTCATTCTAGTCTATCACTATAAAATCTATTAATGAGGAGTAACTTATACTAGTGTTATGCATATGACACCAGTCTATGTTACTGTCTCCTTAGTGCAAAATATCATAGTGATAGCATCATAAATGACTTCGTTTATTAGCTTGTAGACTCATTTTCTCTTAGTAAGCTCTATGTGATGGTAATATAATATGTTATCATGGCCGTCTTTTTCCTCATATAATACTATGTCGTCTCACTAATATGCCTACGAGGCATTGCATGAATATGCATGTTATTATCTATGTTACATCCACTATGACTAGTCTTAGTAATATGTCAATATATGCACACAAAAAATGCGTGCATGGGTCAAATGAGCCATAATTGGGTTGGGTCAGTTCTTCACTTCTTCATGACGCAAGTTGTACACAGTACATAGGTACATAGGTTAAGCCAATGGGATTGAAGCAACATGCGGCTAGTAGTTAAGATCACCAAACAATTCTTGCCATCCACGTCTATAAAAAGGCATATGTTTCATTTGCGTTCTCATCTCACACATGAGCAGCAAGATAGTTCCCAAAGCCCCCATCTCATATGCTACCTGATGTTCAAAATCTCGATTGATTCTTTTGACCTTCCTAGTGAACCAATCAACATATGGTACACCCAAAGAAAGAAGCATTTTTTGTGAAGAACATCTCACAAAAACTCAAAGCAATGCCAAATGCAGTATCTCTCATGGGGGTAGGAGGCACCGGGAACTCAACGAGATTCAGTTTGGGTAAGTTGCGAGGAACGTAAACATGTACTAGGGCTAAGCATGTGTATCCCCGAGCAAGTTCGTCTGAGTACGGAAGACCGAAAGCAAATGGTTGCTTTTTATTTTTGAAATAGGCTTTCGCCCTGCTTCATATATAAAGCAACCACAAAACAGACCAAAAGCAAATGTTTGCTTCTTTCACCCAAGCTAATGATCATTTTACCGGAGCAGAATCTCTTAGAAGTGTACTGTCGTTTTTCATTAACGATTAAAACTAGCTGCCCATGGTAACAGATTGTAAGTGTGTTTTCGAAAATAAAATGATATCACCAAAAACACAAAGCCCACATATATACCATGTATTAGTACCGCTCTCATTGCGCCGAATTAATTAAAATCATGCATGTCACGGTGCGTGCTCCACGACAACATTAGATTTGCAACACACCTGGTGTCAAACAGTTTTAAATCACCAGGTTCCTAGTATTTTTAATCGTGCACCCACCTACTCAGCAACTTGACAAAAGCCATAGTAACAAGCAGAGTGGGTAAATTAGATGGAAACCAAGAAGGGTGTCCCCTCTGCACCCCCAGTCCATCCACCAAACCTATCTATCATCCGGCTGCCTCCGTTAAACTCCAATCCGTGGACATCACTCACACCACGCTCCAGTACAGTCCCGCCCGCCTGGACGACGCAATGCGAGATGACGAGAAATAGAGGCAGCGCTTGTGAGCGGAGCGGAGCACACGCACCGGAATGAATGAATGACATGAGATCTTGTTTTCAGATAACTTTTGTAAGATCATCAGCTAACATATGCATGTACGGGCCTAATGAGCCATAATTTGATTGTGCTGGTTCTTCGTATCTTCACCACGCAATGTGGACTTATCATTGCAGTAGTTAGAGCATCTACACCTGGATGCTCTATATCCGTCTAAAACGCCCGGGCAGGCCATCCGGTCACTAACCGGTCACAAAAAACCGACCCAACCGAACCTCTCAAACGGGCCTCAAACGTTCGGACTAACCGGCACTCCTCATATTCGTCCCGAATGTAGGGCAGATATGAGGCGGCCTGGGCACGCCCAGGTGCTTCCGCCACGTCAGCCCGGCCCACCGCTGGCCCACCCCGACCCCATAAAAACCACCGTCCGGCACAAACTCTAGCTCACTCCGCTCCCCTTCCCGACGCTCCCAATTCCCCACTCCGGCAAATCCCTATCGACGGCGAGCATGCCCAGCACCGGCAGCCACACCGACGGCAGCTCCGGAGACGAGGAGGAGTTGGCGCTCCGTATCGCGCTTGAGGGCTCGCGGATCGATGGCCATTGGAGTTTGCAACTAGTTTCTCCTCCCCTTTGGAGGAAGGTGGAAAAAAGTGCGGGCAACAACTCCGGCTCCGGTGCAATGCCACCTGTCATGTGTCGCAGCAGCGCCGATGCCGGTGTCGGCATTGAGCAATCCGAGCAGGAGGCGACAGAGGCAACGCCGGAGGCGGCGAGGGTGGCTAAGCTCAAGCGCAGGCAAGCCCGCGTCGTCCGGCGCTTGCAAGGCTACATCGTCATCTCCTATTCCTCCAACAAGGACGGGTCCGACGACTCCGACATGGACCCACCTCCTGCCGCAGACTCCTACAGTTGCGCTGGCGACCGGAAGGGCAAAGGGCCGGCAAGGAAGTGGCGAAGATCCATCTTAATTTCAAGTTTTTAGATGTAGTTTGAACTTGTCCGCCGTATTATGTGTATTATGTGAACTTTGGCTATCTTTTGATGACCCGGTTGTGATCTTTTGACGAACCAATTGTGCATTTGTATGTCCTCTCAGGATCTGCGTAGTTTTTATCAACGTTGTATGGTTTAATATGAATATAGAGGACGGAATATGAGATACGCGGGTGGGAAGGCGCGGATATAGGGAATGGCCGGTCAGTGTTCGCGGGCGTGCCCGGATACGTCCGCTGACGTATAGGGGACCGGATTTGCCAAGTCCGGCTGTAAATGCTCTTAAGCCAATGAGATTGCGGCGATGTGACTAGTGGTTAAGATCCGAGTACAAATCTCAACCAACCATGTCTTTAAAAGGCGTATGTTTCATGTGCACTCCAATCCCACACAAGAGCACCAACATAACTCCCAAACCCGCTGCCACCGGAAGTTCAAAATCCTGATTGATTCTTTCGCTCTCCCTAGTGAACCAATGAACATATGGTATACACAAAGAAGCTCGTGTTGCGAAGAACAACCCACAAAAGCTCTGGCCAATGCCAAATGTAGTTCCTTTGATGGGGGTAGGAGGCACCGGGAAGTCAATGAGATCAAGATTGAACAAGTCGCGAGACCTGTAAACATGAAGTAGCACGAAGCATAAGAGTGATCGAGCAGGCAAGGTTTTTGTTAGAAGATCGAAAGCATGTGCTCGCCTCTTTCACCTAGGCTAATGATCATTTCACGAAAGGAAACTATGATGGAGTGTGTTTTAGGGTCTCTTTGATTCAAAGGATCTTCATAGGATTTTTGAAGGATTAGAATCCTTAGGAATTTTTCCTACGTTGGTCGTTTGATTCGTAGGATTGAATCTTGTAGGATTTTTTTCCTAAGAATTTATTTGTACTACATTTTACAGGAATTTTAACATCCACTCCAACCTCTTGAAAGAAATCATTTGCTTTTCCCATGACACAATCAAACAAACTTAAATCCTGTAGGGATCCAATGGACATGCCATTTCAATCCTACGTTTTTCCTATTCCTGTGTTTTTGCAATCCTACGAATCAAAGAGGCCCTTAGTTTCTTTTCATTATAACAGTTAAAACTAGCCGTCCACGGTAGCAAAATCTTGAGCTCATTGGAAAGCAAAATAATTCTGGCTAGCCAGGAGCAGGCCAAGAACACAAGCCCCGCGTACCATGTGCTAGCACTGCTATCGCTGCACCGAATTAGTAATAAACAGAGGCAGGTCACGGTGTGTGCCACAGGACGGCAGCTACGTTAGATTTGCATCACACCCCCGGCGTCAAACAGTTTTAAATCACCAGGTTCATAGTACTAGTACATTTCTAATCCTGCCCCGACCTACTCAAACTTAATAAAATTCACACTAACAGGCAGAGCGAGTAAATTAGATGGAAAACCAAGAAGCGTGTCCCCTCTGCACCCCGTACGTAGTCCATCCACCAAACCTATCTACTACCCGTCCGGCTGCCACCGTTAAACTCCGTGGACACCACGCTCCAGTACGCCTCCGCCCGCCTGGATGGAGGTGACGAGAAATAGATGCGCCGGAATGAATGAATGAATGGCGTGAGATCTCCCTCCATGTCCACCCCCATCCATTCCGCCACCATCCTTCACCGCTGGCCGCAGTGACGCCCTCCCTCTGCCTACATTCATTCCCATTCCCCTCCCCACGCCCGCGTCACAGCCTTCGCTCCACTCCAACCACCACCACCCCTGCCACAATGCAGCCCCTTCTCGGGCTAGCCCTCCTTGCCCTGCTGCTCCTGGCCTCACCGGCGCCGGCGCTCTGCCGCCACCGCGCGCCGGCCGCGGCCACAACCGAGACGCTCGACGTCGCGGCCTCCCTCTCCCGCGCCCGCGCCGCCGTCTCCACCGACGCCAACCCCCTCCACCAGTCCCTCGCCGCCACCGACACCGACACCAATGTTCTCCCCGTTAAGGAGGAGCCCTCCGGCGGGCCGAGCGGCCGGCTGGCGCTGAGGCTCCACTCGCGCGACTTCCTCCCGGAGGAGCAGGGCCGGCACGAGAGCTACCGGTCGCTTGTGCTGGCCCGCCTGCGCCGCGACTCGGCCCGTGCCGCCGCGCTGTCGGCGCGCGCGTCCCTGGCCGCCGACGGGGTCTCCCGCGCCGACCTGAGGCCGGCCAACGCCACCCCCGTCTTCGAGGCGTCGGCGGCGGAGATACAGGGCCCCGTGGTGTCCGGCGTGGGGCAGGGCAGCGGCGAGTACTTCTCCCGCGTCGGCGTCGGCCGCCCCGCGCGGCAGCTCTACATGGTGCTCGACACCGGCAGCGACGTCACCTGGCTGCAGTGCCAGCCCTGCGCCGACTGCTACACCCAGTCCGACCCCGTCTACGACCCCTCCGTCTCCGCCTCCTACGCCGCCGTCGGCTGCGACTCCCCGCGCTGCCGCGACCTCGACGCCGCCGCCTGCCGCAACTCCACGGGGTCCTGCCTCTACGAGGTCGCCTACGGCGACGGCTCCTACACCGTCGGCGACTTCGCCACCGAGACGCTCACGCTGGGGGACTCCGCGCCGGTCTCCAACGTGGCCATCGGGTGCGGCCACGACAACGAGGGCCTCTTCGTGGGCGCCGCCGGGCTGCTGGCCCTCGGCGGCGGCCCGCTCTCCTTCCCGTCGCAGATCTCGGCGACCTCCTTCTCCTACTGCCTCGTCGACCGCGACTCGCCCTCCTCCTCCACGCTGCAGTTCGGCGACTCGGAGCAGCCGGCCGTCACCGCGCCGCTCCTCCGCAGCCCGCGCACCAACACCTTCTACTACGTGGGGCTTTCGGGCATCTCCGTGGGCGGCGAGGCCCTCTCCATCCCGTCCTCGGCCTTCGCCATGGACGACGCGGGGTCGGGCGGCGTCATCGTGGACTCCGGCACGGCCGTGACGCGGCTCCAGTCGGGCGCGTACGCCGCGCTCCGCGAGGCGTTCGTGCAGGGGACCCAGTCCCTGCCCCGCGCGTCCGGCATCTCGCTCTTCGACACCTGCTACGACCTCGCCGGCCGCTCCAGCGTGCAGGTGCCGGCGGTGGCGCTGCGGTTCGAGGGCGGCGGGGAGCTGAAGCTGCCGGCGAAGAACTACCTGATCCCGGTGGACGGGGCGGGGACCTACTGCCTGGCATTCGCGGGGACGAGCGGGCCCGTGTCCATCATCGGCAACGTGCAGCAGCAGGGCGTGCGCGTCAGCTTCGACACCGCCAAGAACACCGTCGGCTTCACCGCCGACAAGTGCTAGTGGGAGCGAGCTTGCGAGCTCGGTTAATTAGCGGGCGAGTGATTAATTAGCGTGCGTGCATGTGGTAATTAAGCGGGGCGGTGTGGGGGCGGGGGCTTTGGGAAAGGCAAAGGCGAAGGACGGAAACAAATGCCAGCCTGTGCTCTGGTCTGGTCTGGTCTAGTGTAGCGTAGCGTCCTTCTGGTCTGGTCTGGTCGTCTTCCTCGTCGTCTACCTCTGTCTCTGTGTAACTGTGTCACTGTGCCCATGGCTCGAGCTCGCCGTCGACATGGATGTGTGTGCGTGCTGCTACTGCTACCACTGCCAGGTGAACGAATTTGTTCATGGGTTGTACTACCTTTCTTCAACAAAAAGAAAAGCTTGTTGATTATTGCCCATTGCCGAGCCAGTTTGGAAGAGCAGAGAATTTTATCATGCGTCGCATTTGTGCCAAGGTTCTGTTTTGCTGGTTGGTCTTGGGATCCTAGAGCATAGTGATAAACGAACTCTGCTGGTGACCCATCGGCATCGCATCACATGCTCCGGCTTAATCCTTTTTAATGCAGTGCGTTGCATGCATGCACGCGTCCTTGTGGCCTAGAATGCCGCCTGGCTGGAGGATTGATGCCTCATGCAAGGTGCTGACTGCGACCGCTTTCGCTTTGGCCTTTACATGATGCTGCTGACTTGTTCGTCCGCTTTTACCACCTTTCTCCGACATGGCAACATGTGCATCGCCTCATGATAATTAATCAACATGGATGATGCATGCCATGCGTATCATATCATCAGTGTGTGTAACCACAACACCGCGATGCGATACGTGTGTCGTTTGCGACCGACGAAGCTTCTTTCTTCTCTCATCTTACCAGCGTGCATGGACGGGTCACGGGTGGAGCGTTGCACGCAGCAGGGGGTAGAGTAATACTCCTACTACTCCCTCCGTTTCAAATTACTCGTCGAAGAAATGAATGTATCTAGAAACTTCAAATTACTCGTCACATAAATGGCTGTAGTATCTATGAACGGAGGAAGTAGTAGTGAAGCCGGTGCGGGGTGGGGTCTATTTAATTATGGTAATGGCGACGACAGTGCGTGTACCAGGGCATCCAGGGCAGTGATGGCGCTGTCTGCTCGCAACCTGGGTGGATGTGGATGGGATCAGGAGGGGGAATGGATGGCAAGAAAAAAGAAGGACGTGTCATACACCGGGCGCGCCGTGCCCGTGCGTCCTGGTCGCTTAATCAATGAATGAGGTTGGTAACCGTTACTGTGTGGTTGCTTGAATGCACATGGGCCCGACCCGACCCGACCTCCACCAGATGCTTAACAGGCCGGGCCCGCCTCATTTGCTCCCTTGTCCGGCCCACCGTCCCCGGCTTGAAGAATCAACGCTCCGGCTCCGGCTCCATCTTCCTCCCCCTGCCACGGGGCCATGGCTACCGACCTGCATCTGCTGCGGCATTACAGGATTTACAGCGTGCATCGCGCGCCTACGCCGACACTTTTCCGTGCAGAGTAGTAAACGGAACGGGAGCGTGGGTGCATGCATGCATGTGCGCGTCCTTGTCGCTGCGCTGCGTCTCGGCGACGAAGATGGAAAAATCTGAGTGAGTGAGTGAGGCCCCCGACCACGACGTTGAGTTTAACTTCTTATAGGGAAAAAATGATGAACATGTTGCATTATTCCTCGGACATACGTGCTCACGATGCATGGCCTCTCTAGGACGTGAGGTCCAAATGATACCGACAGCGGCACAGGATTCTGTATAACGAGCGGTGGACTGGCGGTTGGCGCTCGGCAGTACACGCACCACGAGTTCTTGGCCGACCTGACCTGGAAATTTTTCCTCTGCCCATCGTTTTGTAGCGGAGTAACAGATCGACTAAAGCGTTATGTACAATAGTACTGTAGTGGAGTAGGACGAGCATGCATGCAGTTGCACTCCATTCTTTTACGCGGAGTAGGTCAATCGGGGGCAGTAGTTAGCTGCGGCATGTAATGTTTTCGAGTAAGTAAATTACGTGTTCGGTCCGTTGGTACACGCGAATTAACCCTCCCTGCTCGGAGTTGATACAATATCGAGTAGGACGAACATGCATGCAGTTACAGCGGGTGTACTATGTACAATAGTGTTACTACGTGCGCACTCTATCTGCACGGTGCCATGGCCGTCCGGTATTTATTTTCACGCCTCACGATCACTCTCACGGACTCACTGCCCACAAAAAAGAAAAGGAAAGAAAACACTCTCACGGCCATGGGTGGTAAAGCCGTGCATGGGTCCCTCAGTCGGGTCGGTCGAGTAGCTCTCTGTCCGATCTTTTCAGGGCGCCCATCTCCCACCCATCTTCGGATCATGATGCGGTTTTGGACCCATGGAGCACCGGCATTTCTTTCTTCGCCTGCTCACAAATAATATCCCAAACCAGCAGTTATTAGTAAGAACGTATACTTTGCTCCTACCCTACGCACGTACGTACCGTAACCGTACGTACACAAGTTTGCTTCGGCACACACCCACGTACGTACATCTTTTTTTAACATCACTACAGACGCAAGCGCTCATACATACGCCTTGTCCATCACCTGAATGCCGTCCGACCCCAGCACGTGGCGCTGCCTCCAGCTTGGTAGTAGTATTGTATAGTACTATATGTATTCTTGCCCTCCTGCTGTATTTTTCTCTTTTTCTTCCTCTTCGCGGTTGATCTTCGGCATGTTTCGTTCATCTCGTCAAAGCGCGCGCACGAACCGCGAGGCCGAAAGTCCGGCTCGATCAGAGGCTCGTTTTCAGCATGGGCCCTCCTCCGTGTTAAGCCAAGCCCCGGTGATCGATCATCTTTACGGCGAGGTTTGACTGGAAAGCTCGTAGTAGACCAGTATAAAATGGTCTGTCTGTACGGATGGAAACGTGGACTCGGCTCTCTCGTCGACTTTTATCTCCGTCCGTGAGGACCGAATTGCGTCGCTCATTACAGCATGTTTTCATTACGTCGCTGATTAATGAATTGCGTCGCTCATTACGAATTGTTTCCATTACGGATGGAAACGTGGACGCGCACTATCGTTTTCAGCTCATCGAAATAGTTATTAAAGTCGCCGCCACAGAGAAAGTCCGGAGGGACGAATAGCAAGGCGCTGAGGCAGAGGAGAGAGAAGGCAAAATACATTGTGCGAGCCATAACGGCGTCAGTGGAGTAGGGTGTGGGAGAGAAGGTCGGGATGAACGATAGCTTGAAGAATCAACGCTACAGCTCCATCTTCCTCCCTGCCACGGGCCATGGCTGCCGACCTGCATCCACGTGCACTTCTGCTGCAGCATTCCTACAGCGTGCATCGCGCGCCAACGCCGATATTTTTCCATGCAGAGTAAACCGAGCAGACCGTCTGAGCGTGCGTGCATCGGTGCATGCATGTGCGCGTCCTTGTCGCTGCGCTGCGTCTCGATGAAGACGAAAAATCTGAGCGAGTGAAGGCCCCCGACCACGACGTGGAGTTTGACTTCTTGGAGGGAAAAAAGGGAAAAAGGCTGCATTATTTTCGGACGTATATTGCGCACGATGCATGCATGGCCTGGGACGTGATGGGATAAATCCTCCGCCCATCATTTTGCAGTGCAGGAACAGATCGAGTAAAGCATTCTGCGCAATATTACTAGCACGGAGGAAGTACTATTGAGTAGGACGAGCACACATGCAGTTGCACTCCATTCTTTTACGTGGTGTAGGTCAGTCAGGAGCAGTAGTTAGCTGGGGCATGTAATGATTTCGAGTAAGTAAATTACGTTTTCGGTCCGTTGGTACACGCTAATTAGGCTTGCCTGCTCAGAGTTGATACTAAAATATTTGAGTAGGACGAGCATGCAGTTACAGCGGGTGTGCGTACAATAATGTTACTACATACGTACTCTATCTGCACCCACGGTTGCTGCCTACCATGGTCGTCCGGTGTTTTGAGTATTTTGGCTGCCCACGATCACTCTCACAGTCTCGCAGCCTCACTGATGCGTGGTAGTAAAGCCATGCATGGGTCCCTCGGTCGGTCGAATAGCTTTGTCCGATCTTTTGAGGACACCACCTTCAGATCAAGATGCGGTTTTGCACCGATGGAGCGCACCATTTCTTTCTTCACCGGGAGTACCAGCTAACCAACAGTTATCAGACCACACTCACTTTGTGCACATGTATTGAAGGCCAGATATTACCCGAATGGTAAACTTGAGGATACAGTGTTTAGTGGGAATGCTTCTTCATCATGGCAAGCGATCAGCCATGGACTGGACCTGCTGAAGAAGGAGATCCTTTGGAGAGTTGGTGACAGCCGAAGCATCAAAATTTGGCGCGACAACTGGATCCCTAGACCTTTCAGTTTCAAACCAATAACCGTATAGGGCACATGCAGAATAAGGCTTGTGGCAGGTTTGCTTAACCCTAATGGCTCCTGGAATTTAGCCCTACTACAACAATACTTCCTCCCTGCTGATGTTGAAGAAATACTGAAAATCAGAGCATCTCCCAGGCAGGAGGAAGATATCATTGCTTGGGGGCCGGGAAAACAAGGTAGATTTTCTGTCAAAAGTTCCTACAACTTTGCGTTTGAAGAGGCTCATCGTTCTGCAGAATCGGCTTCCAGCTCGGCTCCGGATGGAAGAAGAAAAGTATGACAGCTGATATGGAAATGTGATATTCCACCGTCGGTCCGCAACTTCGCATGGAGAGTGGCAGTGGACTCTTTGCCAACCTAGAAAAACAAGCACAAACGCGGGCTGGAAACATCGTATCTCTGTCCGCTTTGTGCTACAGAAGCTGAGGATAATTTCCACCCCTTTGTGCATTGCCCACTTGGCCGGGAATTATGGTACTCGATGATGGAGGTGTGGTCATTGCCAGATATTGATACGATAAAGCATACGGGAAGAGAGTGGTTGTTGCATGCACTGGACCCTCTTTCTGATGTTGAGCGGTCCATGGTATTGATGACCTTGTGGCGTGCTTGGTTCGTCCGGAATGAGGTGGTC